CACAGGACCCCCCCCGCCCGGCATCTCAGCATTTGCTTAGAGACACGGTTTAGCTGTGGACAGGTATGGTTGGACTCGATGATCTTAAAGGTCTTTTCCAACCAAATGATTCCATGATTCTGTGATCTCCTGTTCCCGGTGCCCACCAACATCCCTCCGCTCTCAGCACCCACCCGCACCCCTGCTCACAGCACCCGCTCCCCTGACTCATCCTCCCCACGGACCCTGCCCTGCCTGGTGCCCCCCAGCCCCATTGCTGTCACCCACCTCTGGCCGGGTGCCTTCAGCTGAGCTCTGACCCTCCTTGGGCAGGCAAGCCCTCAGCCCCGGCCACCCCATGGGGCCATGAGGGTGAGCATGATGCTGGCCATGGGGGGGGGTAAGGCGGGATGGTGCCACGGTAGCCCAGGTCCCACGGCTGGGCGCGTGCCACGTCCCTGCTGGACACATGTGGTGTGCCGCAGGCCTGTGCCCGGCGTGGGGACAGGGACAGGGGGTCGGGTGCAGGGCCATGCTTTTAGCCTGGCATGGCAGCCCCCCGTGCTCGGGGACACGTGCCTGCGGGTGACATTTCAGCAGGGACCTTGGCAGCAGCCAGGCTGGTCCTGCCCAGGCAGGGCCTGGGGTACCCGCTGCTCTGCCCCCCCCCTTCCCAGCACCCACCCTGCCAGGACGACTGGGGTGCAATGGGTGCTCCTGGGGGAGCAGGGTGCTCATTGCCTTTAATTTCCTTGTAGCAAAGTAACCAGGTCTTGCAGGGCACAGTATTTCCACACCCTCTGCTCCTGAACACACACATTCCTTAGGCACAGAGCAAAACAAAAAAACCCCAAACTTCCAGCCTTCACTTTGACTTTTCTCCCTCTGGGTGGTTATCTGCGTCTTTCATGAATTTCCACCTTTTTTCTTCTTTTAATGTGCCTAAATAAGAGCCGAGTCTGCAACTCATCTCTCTTGAAGCCCATGCGTGGTGGCCTTGCTCCCTCTGCTTGTACCGGGATGCTCGTACTGCTGAGAGCGGGGCTGGGGGCGAGCGGGGCCAGCTGGCGGGTGGCCGGGGGGGCCTGGGCTCAGGGAGTTTCCCGGTGATGCTGGAGCACTGATCCCTGTCCCGGCAGGTCCCAGTGTGCTGGTTAAAGTCAGCCCGGATGGTTGGGGTTTAACCGCATCAGCTGGTTAAAATCCACACAGTGGTTGTGGTTTCTCCCTCCCTGTGACAGTTTTGGGACTGAGCTCTCAAAATTGTCCTTCCCTGCTGAGCTCTGCGCTGCCACCGCCAGCCCAGGCTCAGGGATGGGCCCTAGGGGACCCCCAACTCTGCCTTTTGGGGTGCTCCCTGGATGCCCTCCCTGGGTTCCCCACAGGCAGTGGCTTTCCCAGCCCTGTGCATGTTCCTCATTCGGGGTTAGGGACCCAGCCTGGCTCTGCTGGCGCTCCAGGCAGAGTGGTGACCCCAGCCTGGGACTGCTGGGCTGGGAGCTGGCGGTGCCCCCCCCCCCGTGGATGCCACCCAGGTGGCTCTCAGAGGAGGGATCCCTCTGAGCTGGCAGCGCTGCCTCGCCAGCCACCCCACGGGGCCCCTGCCTGTCCCTGGGTCCCATCCTGGCTCACAGCCCCTCACTGCGGCCCCACGGCATTTTCAGCCATGTTTTTCCCACCGCAGCCCCTGGTGAGGGGGAAACCCCTGTAAGGGCATCGCGCTGCTTGTCTAACAGTGAAATTAATGCTAATTAGCCAAAATGCCATGGGATGGCTGGTGGGGGGGAGGTGCAGAGATTAGGGCCTGAATCCAGGCGTGGGCAGGGGGATGGTGGCACGGGGACTTGGGTTGTCAGGGTGGGGTGCCCAGAGGGAGCGTCACCGTGCCTTCATTCGCCCCTGTGCCTGCTCCAGGCCCGATTCCTGTGCTGTGCACGGAGCTGCACATCGGGGGCGAGGGGAGGGGGAGAAGCACCGGGAAACACCCCGAGCCCAGACCTCAGGTCCCGTGGCTGAGCACATGGCACATCCCTGCTGGCACATGTGGTGTGCCACAGGCCTGCGCCGGCTTGGGGACAGGGAGGCGGGGACAGGGTACAAACAGCCCTCCTCTCTTCTGGGGACTTGGGTGGCTGGGCTGGCATCTCCAGGCTGGGGAAACTGAGGCATGGGAAGCCACTGGGCTGGCTGCTGGGGGTGGGGGGGGTGAGGCAGGGCCTGGGCTAGAGCTGCTACCTGCCCAGTAATCCCAATGCTGGGAATTGCCTTCCCCTGGCTGTTACTCCGAGTTGGTGCCATCGGAGCGTGCAGGGCGGGTGATGCCGGTGGGTCCCTGTGGCCTGGGCTTGCCCGTATGGGTTTGCTGGGGTGTGCCCTGTCTTGTGATGGGTGCTAATGAACCGGCTGTTCGTTAGTAGTGTGGGTAGCGTGGCCTGGGGCTCAGCACCCTCCCTGCCCGTCTCTTGCAGAACATCGTCTCCAAGCACAGCTCGCAGTTTCGGGGCAACGCGCAGCACGATGCCCTCGAGTTCCTGCTCTGGCTACTGGACCGCATGCATGAGGACCTGGGCGCCGCCTCCCCTGCCCAGCAGACCCCCGTCCCTGAGGAGGTGGGTGACCCCACCAGGGCGGCCGCACACCCTGGCGCGGGAGGGGGATGTCCACACTGGGTCTGGGACCAGGAAGCAGAGGTGTCCTGGGAGGGGGCGGGCTGCAGTTGTCCCCCTGACCCCGGGATGGGATGGGCATGGGGAGGGTGGCTGTGGGTGGTGTGGTTTGGCCATTGTGATGGGGGAGGATGTCGGGCCCCGTGTGCTGTGGGGCTGGGCAGGGTGGTTGGGGTGCAGGGAGAGTGTGGGGGTATCGGCAGGAGCCTGTCCAGCTGAGCACCCTGATTCTGGAGGGCACCCCAGTTCTTGGGGTTGCTCAGTCAGGAGGAGATGCAGCCCCCTGCCGTCCCTCCCTGCCTCCAGCTAAGCCCGCCATAATTACAGTGGCTTTGCTGCTGGCAAAGCGAGTAATTAAGTCTCCTTCCATCCATGTGTACTGGTGGTATCGCCTTGGCCCTGCCTGCCAGGGCGCTGCCTGTTGCAGCAGATGGATTTGTGCTGCTGGCGATTGCCCGGGTCCGCACCGTGCTGGCCCCGCTGTGGGGGTGATGCCCGTCTTGGGCATGGGGAGCCCAGGAGGTCCTTCATCCTCCCTGCCCCCAGCCTGGGGCATCACAGCTGTGGCTGAGGGTGGTAGGTAGGGGACCCCGCAGGCAGCCCCTGCCCGGCCTCCAGCCTGGCATGGGCACAGCTCTGTCCCACCTGGGAGAGCTCGGCTGTGGTGCCCATCTCCAAAGCCTCCAGCCAGGGCAGCCCCATGGCTTCCAGCCCTTCTTGGCTGGGGCTGTTTGGGAGAGCTTGGCAGTGGGCAGCTCCCCTAGCTTGCTTGTTAAATGCGAGGTGCCAACGCGTGCTGTGGGCTGTGGCGTGGTGCTGGCGGTGCCTGCACTGGAGGCAGTGCCCTGGCAATGCCTGGGGTGCCCACCTGGCTCTGGGGACGGGACCCTTTGTCGCCCCCAGCATCCTTGGTTTTGCTCAGCATCCCCCTATCTTGGCCCCTTTGGGGGGATGCCACCTGTGTGTTCTTGGGGAGGTGGTGCCCAGTGGGGGCCGTGAGCCTGAATAAATGGCTTTGAAGTGCCTGGATGGAGGTGGGCACGCTTGTGGAAATACCATCCTGGCCGTTAGATGGATGCCTACGAGGTGTCTGCCGTGGCACCCAGTGGGCTACGGGGCCACCCGGGTGGGGACAAGGCTTGGCTGCTGGGAGGGCTGGAGGAAGAGGAGAAGGAGGTGTCCCCTTGGGTTTGGGGGGATTTAGGGGCTGCGTGGGCCACAGGCACTGTCCAGGTCCCCTCTCTGCCACTCCAGATGGACCCTGGCCCTGGGCGGACCGTAAGGACAGGTCAGGCTCAGCAGGACCCGGTGCCAGCAGATGGCATGAGGAAAATCCACCTCCCAGCCAAATTCCTCATTGATTTTCAGTCTTGCTCATTGCAACACCAAAAAATCCTCCTCTTACCCCAAAACAACCCAGTCCTTTCCCAAGCTACTGAGGCTCCTTTCTACCGACGTCTCTAATGCCATCAGGCTCTGTGTGCCTGTAGCAGGGGGGGAAGCCGTCCTGTATGGGGACGGGGGCTCCCTGCGGTTCCAGGGCAGTGGGCAGGCAGGATGCGGGCAGGGAGGTGTCTCCTAACCAGGCAGGTTTGGCTGTGTAACATGGTCATGTCCCAACATCCACATTCCCTATGGAGCAGAGCAGAGGACCTGGCTCCTCCTATGGCATCCTGGGGGTGGGGCACGTCTCGCCTCCCACAGCCGGTGGCAGCATCCCCCGAATTTGGCAAAGGCGGCTGCCTGCCTGGCTGGGCATCCTGTCTTTCCCTTGGGATGAGGGAAAGGATCCTGTGCTGGCCCTGGGAGGGAGCGACAGGGACGCAGGCAGCCCGGAAGCACCATCCTCGGTGTCAGTCCCTGTTGAGAGCTGGGAGAGAAGGGGCTGTGCCTCAGTTTCCCCATAGAGCAAGCAGGGGGGATGCTCCTCGCCCACCCTGAAGCAGCGTCTGGCCCGCGGACAAGCCTGTTTCTCTCAGGGAAGGGGGACCAGTGTTGCTCCTCCTGTTGCTTAGGGACATGCCACAGACTTGACGGGGGGAATGGATGCGGGCACCCAGCCGGGGAGCACGGCTGGCTGGGGTGGCTCAGGATGCTGGGGGCTGGTGCATCAGGCCCAGAGAGAAGTCGGGTGTCTGCAGTATGGGGGGAGAGGCAGTCACCCCACCATCTGGGGCCAGGACGGGGGACACGGTGACATGGGGATGTGGCCAAGGGACAGGTCGGGAGCGGAGCAAGCGCTCCCCATGGCTGCCTGCCCTGCCAGCCCAGGGGATGCTGGTGGCATGGCACTGCAGACGTGTGGCCCCTGGAAGCCCAGCTCTGGGGCAGCGGGTTGGGATGCTGGGTGCCGTGCTGTGCGCAGGGTGCTGTGCCGGGGTGCCGTGCCTGGGCTTGGTGTGCCGGGTGCTGTGCTGGGTGCTGTGCCTGCGCTTGCTGCTGGGGAAACACGCAGCAGCAGGTCTCGTTTTCTGGGCACGCTGGCAGCCCCGCACTGGCACAGCTGCCTGGGAGGGCGTCCCCACGGCCGGGGCTTTTTTAGCTCCCTGGTTCCAGTGATTTGCATGTGGTTCATTTGCACCCATTGGTGTTTGCTTCAGGTGGGCACCTGCACAGGAGCGTGCACACCCACTCCTGGAGCTCGTCTCGCAGACACACGGACAAGCACAGACACACAGACACCTGCTTGCTGCACCGTCTCGCCCACCCACCCCACAGCTCCCCGCAGCAGGGCTGCTCCCAGCACCCATGGGTGCATTTTCTGGCATGGTGGGTGCCAGGGTGCTGTGGGCAGCTCCCTGCTGGGGCTGCCCACCCTGCGGGTGTGTGCCTGTGGGTGCTGGGGCTCTTTGAGGGACTGTTGTGGGGGGGACCAGCTTTCCCCCCTGCTGCAAGCTGTCCGCTGCCAGAGGTGCCTGTGCTGCTGCATGGATAAGCTGTCCCAGCCGACCCACCCAGGTTTTCCCTCTTGGAGCATTTTGGCCAGGCTCGAATGCATTCCCAGCTCCAATTCCTTGGTGTCCAGAAGCTCCAGATGATGGGGATGTGTTGGGTGGCCCCTAGGGGTCTCACTGCTGCAGACCCCCTGCCCACAGCTGGGGCAGGGATGCGGACAGGGGCTTAACCCCTAGTGCCCCATGCTGGCTGGCAGCCCCAAAATTTCCCTGGGAGAAGGCACGCAGGGAGCCTGCAGGGCACAGGGCCGGTGGGTGCCAGGCAAGGGTTGCTTTGGCATCACCTTCAGCCCGTCCTCGTGCCATGGAGACACCAAAGCTGGGCTTGGTTCACTGGGACATGTCCCCAGCGCCTTAAGGGTGGGGGTCACCTCAGCGCCTTGCTCACCCCACTCGTCTCTTCTCCCCGTAGGCTGGCGAGGATGGGAGCAGCGGTGCCGGCAGCTCCCCGCCGGCCGCCCAGCATCCCCGTGGGCAGAGCTTCGTGCAGAGCCACTTCCAGGCGCAGTACAGGTGAGTGGGGAGGGCCGGATCCTGCCCGCTGGGGGCCAGACTCTGCGAGCGCCAGGAAGGGATGAGCCGGGGTGTGCTCAGCCCTGCCAGGGGGCTCCGTCTGTCCATCCAGCCATCCCATCTGGCCTAGGCAGCGGAGCTGCTTCCCCTGCAGGCAGTGCAGCCACGGCTGGGGGCGAAATGCCGAGCAAGGGGTTTCAGGACATTTCTTGGTCCACTTCAATGCTGGCAAATATTTTTGCAAGTGGTAAAAAAGACAGGGGGAGGGTTGGAGCCTGAATCCCTGTGGCAGCATGCGGGGTGTCCTGCCTGCTCCCCACCCCTGTCTCAGCCCCAGGGCTCCTGGTAATTAGCTGGGAAGCTCCGGGACCAGCAACATTAGGATGGAGCTGTGCTTTGCATGGTGCAAGGCTGGCGGCGTTGTCTGGGCTGTGCGGGTGCAATGGGGCAACTCTTGGCCAGAGGGGGCAAATTGGTCTGGGTATTGACTGATCCAGAGCAGGGTCTGAACTGCGTGCCAGGGGCGGTTTTTGGGTGTGGGTGAATGCCTAGTCCTTGGGAGTGAGGGCAACAGGGGGTGACATCAGGCACACCCAGTGTCACCTCCTGGCACGGACACAGACACAGCTCTGGGCAGACCCCAGCCCTGCCCCTGCTTCCACCCTCCACACACCTTCCCTGGGCATTTCACACCCCCCGCCTTTGGAGACCCCACCGCCCGCCTCACCTTGGCCCTAATGAACCCTGAAGTGGTTCCTGTCATTATCACTGCCCCAGGAATGGCTTTTGCCAGGACAGCTGATTTTGCGAAGAGATAGCTGTTCCCTGGCAAAAGCAAGGCGGCTGCTGGGCCGGGAAGGCTTGGCCTGGGGGGACGGGCATGGGTTGGGCAGGGGATGCCCTGGTGGTCCTCCATGGGTGCCGCTGGGGTGGTGGTGGTGGTGGGTGGTAGAGCAACCCAGTAAGGTATGGTGTCCCTCAAGGGTCCATACTGGGATCAGTACAGTTTGATATCTTTGTTGATGATGTGGTGGGGTGGTGCAGGCTCAGCAAGGTGGCACCAAGCTGAGTGGTGGCGTTGATCCCTAGAGGCAGGGGGTGCCCTGATGGGCTGTAGGGGTTGGCCCATGTGAACCTCATGAAGTTCTACCAGGCCCAGTGCAAAAGTCCTGCACTTGGCTTGGGGCAATCTTCAGTACCAGTATGGACTGGGTGATGAATGGAGAAGGACTTGGGGATACTGGTGGATGAAAAATGGGACGTGAGCCGGCACTGCGTGTCTGCAGCCCAGAAGGCCCATCAGATCCTGGGCTGCATCAGAAACAGCATGGCCAGCAGGGCGAGGGAGGTGACTTTTCCCCTCTGCTGAGGCCCACACTGTGACGAGCTCTGGGGTCCCCAGCAGAGGACAGGCATGGACCTGCTGGAGCAGCGCCAGGGGAGGCCACGGAAATGGTCTAAGGGCTGGAGCCCCTCTGCTATGGGGAAAGAGAAGCTGAGCATGCCCCATTGCTGGCAGAGGCCAGGCTGGACAGGGCTCGGAGCAGCCCAGCTGAGCTGAAGCTGTCCCTGCCTGTGGCCAGGGGGTTGGATTGGATGATCTGTAAAGGTCCCCCTCAACCCAGACTGTTCTGTGGTCCTTCACAGGACTCAGGATCCGGGTTGTCCCAAGCCTGCCCGTGGATGATGGGACACCCCACACATTTCGTCTAGCTGAAACTCCCGGGGTGCTTGGGTGGGCCAGCATCTGGCCACCCCATCCCCGTGCCATGGCCCTGCAGGTGTCAGGGGCCACATCTGGCACCACAAGTCCTCCCTCCTCTCTCAATCCCCTGCCCAGTACGAACAAAAGGCGCTTTAATTATCCACCCCCTTCCGCGTGCCAGGGCCCGTCTGCACACAAAAGGATTTATTAATTGGTGCGGCTGCTTCCCGGGGAGCTCGGTGGCTCTTTGAGGTGACGGATAACAAGGGCTCGGGATTTTGATTTGGTTTTTAATTTATTTTTCCAAAGGAGGAAAAAAAAAAGGCAGAATTGAAAAGAAATAAGGGGGAAGGTGGTGGGTCCGTTAAAGGTTCGTTTAAGCCAGGCTTTGGTGGAGCATCTCCTGCGGGATGCTGGGGGAGATGGGGGAGCCTCCCCGCTGGCAGGGGGACCTGGGCCGCCCCGGTGGCAGCCGGCAGTTGTGCCATGGTGGGGCCCAGATGGGCTGAGCTGGCAGCCCCGGGGAAACGGGCAGTGTGTGTGTGGCACAGCCAGGCTGGGAGTGCTGGGAGTGCCACCCTGGCGGTGCAGGACCCGTCCCTGCGGTGCTGATGGGGATCCCACCCCGGCGGGTGCAGGATCCATCCCTGCGGTGCTGATGGGGATCCCACCCCGGCGGGTGCAGGATCCGTCCCTGTGGTGGTGGCAGGCAGACAGGGAGTGCGGCAGGACGGTGGTGTCCCCTGGGGGCAGCTGACCAGTGGGATGGTCACCAGCCCCCGCCCTGCCTCTGGCCATGGGTGTCAGGTGGGCGTGGGGCCAGCCTGGGCCACGCCGGGGTGTGGCGTGGGGCTGCAGGCACCCGCCTGTTTGCTGCCTGTCGTTGCCTCCTCCCTGCAGCCTGGCCACTGCTTTGCTTTTCAGGAGGGGTCCTGTCCCCTCCCAGCACCCCAAGGCGTTTTCCCTGCTTAAACCCCACCTGGGCAGGCTGGGGTCACCCCAAAGCCTCCAGGAGCCAGAAGCCACCCCAGGCGCTGTGAGCCCTTGGGAGGGGGAGCAGGATCTGGGGGGGGGTTCAGGGCCACAGCCACGTGTGGGAGTGGGAGACGCCCCAGCCCTGGGATTTCACTCTGGCTCCTGTAGCACCGATTACTGCAGGGACCCTCATTAGGTTTCAGAGTGAACGGACTGTTGGGCTGGGCAGGCGGGTACAGGCTGCGGTGCCTCACCCTGGCAGGAGGTGGTGCAAACCCTGCGGGACGCTGGGGCCATCCGAGCCCTGTGGGTGTGGTGCCCAGGGTGCGGTGCCCGGGGTGCGGTACCAGTGGCAGGGTGCTGCAGCTTCAGGGCGGGGACTCCGGGGGTGCTGTCCCCGTGCCGGTGACGTGCCCCGGCCATGCTTTGCAGGTCCTCCCTGACGTGTCCTCACTGCCTGAAGCAGAGCAACACCTTCGACCCCTTCCTGTGCATCTCCCTGCCCATCCCGCTGCGCCAGACCAGGTGAGCCCGGCCCTGCGCCTCCCCAGCCGCTCGCTGGCACAACGAGAGGCACGAACGCTGCTTGGTGGGATTTGGGCTCCAATTAGACTAATTTGTATATTTTGGGGTAAATAATTAATTGGGGAGGTGGTGGCAGCGTTGGGACAGGGGACGGCCACTGCTGCAGGAGCTGCATCCGATGGGTGTTTGCTACCCCGGAGTCAGAGCCTCCACGCTGGGACGTGGATCCCTCCGACGTGGCCATGAGCGGCGTCGGGGCTCAGCGCGGCGGCGTTCCCAGCTGAGGGGGGTCTGTGTGTGCGTGCGTGTGTGCATGTGTGTGCGTGCGTGTGTTTCTCCCGGTGTCCCCAGGGCTCTCAACGTCACCCTGGTGCTGCAGTGCGAGCGCCGGCGGTTCGTGCGGGTGGGGCTGGCTGTGCCCCTGCGCGGCACCGTGGCCGAGCTGCGGGAGATGGTGGCACGGGAGGGACGCATCCCCCCGGAGCAGGTAACGGGGTGAGGGGGGGATGGGAAGGGGGACGGGGACACCCCCCCCTACCCCCCCGGGGACACTGATGGCGCCGGGGGCTGTCCCGCAGGTGATCCTGGCCGAGG